TGTACCCATCTTTTCACATTTAAAAATGAAGCAGGGCTTGGTGGCTCATGCTTATAATGTAAGTGCTTTGGGAGGCTGAGACAGGAGGATTGCTTGAGGCTAGGAGTTTGAGACCAGTCTAGGTAACATAGTGAGACCCCATCTCTCAAAAAATATTAGCCAGGCACCATGGCACGTGCCTGTAATCCCAGGTACTTGGGAGGCTGAGGCAGGAGGATGGCTTGAGCCCAGGAGTTCAAGGTTACAGTGAGCTGTGATTGCACCACTGTACTCCAACCCGGGTGACAGAGACAGAGCCTATCTCTAAAAAAAAAAAAAATTTAAGTCAAAAGGAGACAAAATTTTGCTCAGACCTTGAATCTTCTCTTTTAAGTCTCTTCTTCCCTGTGCCACTTTGCCTCTCAGATGAATGGATTAGGCAGTACTTGGCAGTCTGAGGACAGTAGACGTGTTGCCATTCTTGTCCTCAGCCTCTGTCCCTATCCCCACCTCCTCGGTCTCCACGAAAAGATCCAGCTCAGTCAGGAGGGCTCCCCAAGTGGTCATGTCCCAGGGTCCAGGGCACGTTTGGGCAGAAACCGCTCCAGGTTCTTGTCTCTCATGTCCTTTCATCTGGAGCTATCTGCACCTCCATCTCCAGCCTGAACAATTGTAGACCATACACGGTAAATCACTTTGCTTAACAGCAATTTGATGAAAAGCTGGAGCTGTGTTTATGTACTTTTTCTACCTCTGTACTTTAGTTAAAGATTAGAGGTGTCAGATGGGTTGCTTTGATAGAAGCTGTGGGCAACTACATGACTTTCTTTCTTTTCCAAGATCCCAGCAAAGTACACGGCCTTTCACTTTATTACTGGAACCCTTCTAAAAAGAATACAATGAAACACCTTTTCTCTGATAATTCTGGGCCAAGAGCTACACACACCATTACATGTTTGCCACAAGAAGCTAGGCACGAATGAAAAACCACGCTGCTGAATACAAAATTTGATTTGATTTTTTATTTTATCATTAAATTCAACGACGAATGTATTTTCTCTTGTTTTTAAATGTTAGGGAAACAGACTCACTTTAAGCACACAGGCTGAGGGTCTGTCATTGCAGCCTTATGAAGAGTACCTAAATATGGTTAGACTTGTGCCTGAAAATTTCCGAGATTTTCACAGCAAAAGGCAGATCGATCGTGACCAGTTGATGACTGTCCTTGCCAATGTGACACATCTTTTGATCAGAGCCAACTACAATTCTGCAAAAATGGCTCTTTACAGGTATGTATTGGAAATGGAGGAAAAACTTATGGTGAAGGTACTCCAATTTTATCTTCATTTATTAATATATATTTAAAGTTCAACATATTTTACATTCGTTATATTAAGCACACAGCTAAAGGAACTGGTTGGCTTAAAAACTACTAAGTTTACAAATGTAATTTTATTGAAAACATAAGAACAGTTGTCCACATCAGGTGTATCCAGTAGAAGACACACTTGACATTAGGATGAGAAACTTTCAAAGGGGATTTCTGGGAAATGCACGATGAGCTAGCAATTGTCTGGACCATGTTGCACCTGGTTCTCACCAGCCTAATGTTAACCCTCTTAGCTTTTACTCAGTCCATTTAAGTGAATGTATCCATCGTTGGTCATTTTATTACTTTGAGGAGGACGATTTCTGGCAATACCGTGCCAAGCATCAAAGTTGCATGCAGCTAGGCTGGGCGTGGTGGCTCACGCCTGTAATCCCAGCACTTTGGGAGGCCAAGGCAGGTGGATCGTATGAGGTCGGGAGTTTGAGACCAGCCTGGCCCAACATGGTGAAACCCCATCTTTACTAAAAATACAAAAAATTAGCCAGGCGTGGTGGTGCATGCCTGTAGTCCCAGCTACTCGGGAGGTTGAGGCATGAGAATCATTTGAACCCAGGAGGTGGAGGTTGCAGTGAGCTGAGGTCGTGCCACTGCACTCAAGCTGGGGCAACACAGTGAGACTTTGCCTCAACAATAACAACAACAAAAATGTTGTATGCATCTAACACAAACATAGCATGACACATTTAAAGATAATCTTTCTATTTGTGATCATTGAATGGATTAATTTTTCTGAGGTGCTTCATCTCCAAATAGGCAACACCAGACGTTTCCCCACAGTGGTCTATGGGTAACAGCACGACTTTGTACCAAACATTGAAGGCATTTCCAGGGAATAGTGATGGCTCCCAGAGAATGTATTGTTGTGAAAGACCTTTAGTTATTTACAAAAATCACATCACTCTTTTACTGGATTTAAATGGTTTTTTGTTGTTGTTGTTGTTGTTGTTGTTGTTGTTTTTTGAGATGGAGTCTTCCTCTGTCACCCAGGCTGGAGTGCAGTGGCACTATCTCAGCTCATTGCAAGCCCTGCCTCTCAGGTTCAAGAGATTCTCCTGCCTCAGCCTCCCGAGTAGCTGGGACTACAGGCGCCCACCACCATGCCGGCTGATTTTTTGTATTTTTAGTAGAGATGGGGTTTCACCGTGTTAGCCAGGATGGTCTCGATCTCCTGACCTCGTGATCCACCCGCCTCGGCCTCCCAAA